TTTTGATAACAGGAAAAGTAGAATGGATGGATCCTGAGATCTTTGCCAGGTTTATATTCCTATATGAGCATCCTCCTTTGACTGGTAGGCCCTCACCTGTTCTACCCACCTGGCAAACTCCTCTTTACTCTCCAGGCTCAAAAACAGCTTCCCTGCTGAAGTATTGCCCACACACATGTGGGATTAGGAAGGTTCTCCTCTGGGTGCTCAAAAAAATCTTCTGTTTATGAGAATCATTTATTTAAAAATGCAAACTATTTGCTCCTGACTATGGCTTCTGGTATCCTCACTTGTATTCCCATGACTTACCACTGAGGCTGGTACCTAAAATTACAGTAAATATGTGGTGATTAAATAAAGGTTGAACTCACTGAGTCTAAGGAATATCAGCTCCTACAGATAAACTGTAGAAGTCTGATCTTCATGTTTCTATATCAAACACGGATGTTTTTATACATTCTTACATAAAATCCATCATAGCTCTCTGAGCAGTCCACATAGCCTCCTAATCACTACATCTGTTTGCAGTATACAAAGAGGCTTTGTCTCATTACTATCTGACTATTCACCTAACACAACACAAATGAGGTCACTCTTACAACTTCTCATTCACAAAAGAGGAGCCATTATCATTTACAGCATTTCCTATAGTTTCTATACAAAGTCACCGGCCCAGTGGGAAAAGCCATATTTTCTACTGTTTTTTCTCTGGGATCTCTATTCTAGTCAAATGTTTCTTTAAAAAAAAAAATCAAAGGAAGATCTTTTAAATAATCTGAAGAATAAAATGTATTCTCATCATTTCACTTTGACAGCTTGTCCCAGCAAGCATTTAGCACATAAATTTGGGGTCAAATAGTATTTAGGCAATATTATATTAAATGTAACATAAAATGTCCTTTTCTCCTAAAAAAAAGTCAATTTGTCATGCTTGATGAATTTCTTTTTGAATTATGAGTACATTTACCTCATGTGGCTTACCACTGAACTGTTGTTCATTTCTATAGACATCCTTTTGTAAATGTAGAGAAAATCCCTTAGAAATTTTTCCTTATAACTGCATTCAACTCTTATTAGATCAGCATTACACTAAAAATATATGCAAAACATTAAGAATATCAGAACTAAAATTTTATAAATATTCAAAAGTAAAATACAGAAATTTACCAATTAATCTAGGGTTATAAGTTTATTATTTCAAAAGATTTATTAAAAGAGTTTAGAAATAGAAACTATTAGACAAGATTTTTTTTCAGCTTAAAGATCCAGCCTATCCCCCGCCCCCCCTTCTCTCAATAAAATACTATCTACCATAGGGTCCAATTCCATATAGTGCAGACAAAGTAAGACCAAATTAATGAAGGGATTCTGCAAACAAAGCTGCTGCATTAGGAAACTTCTTGAGCAAAATACCTTCAATTGCATTTTTTGTATGCACTAAATCAGGAGTACATATTTTTAATGTGCTTCTGACCTTAAATACTTAAGTAAACCTCCTGTGTCATCTGCACACAAGAATAAAGAGAATGGCAAGACAAGAGGGAAAAGTCACAAAAAAATATCTATTTACCAGCTTCATTGCTTCAGCTTTTCTAGAAAGTAGGTCAATTCATCTTAGCAGACAAACCGAGGACACAGTAGAGGTAACAACTGAACACAGTTGGCATGCCCTGATCCTTCTCAGAGTCACTTATTAAGATTTTGCCTTCTGCCTATGTTTGTCTCCCCAGACTTTCTTACAAAGGCACTTTTGAGGGAAAAAAAAAAAATCTTTACATTTTAGCTTTTATACAGATCAGCAATGTAAGTGAGCACATCAATAAGCTGGGTAGGCTACTGAGAGAAAAATGAACAAGACTTCTTTCTTGGATTTCAGTCCCACAGGACTGAAGCTTCCCTCTCTTAAATTGCTATTTAATCTACAAAACACTGACTTTGCATGGTCTTGTGGTATCTTTTCCACCTCTCCAAATAGGCCTATTCTTGAAGGTGAAAACTGTCTCAAACCCTCTATTTCCAGAGTCCCTGCACATGCTCAGTCCATGCTTTGTGGTGACATTGGCAGCACCATTCTCCTCTGCTTTGGGGTTAAAAGGCACTGTCCAAAATGTCAAGACTGTTCATACCATTTTTCATTTTACATTGTCATCCATTGCAAGGGGTGTTGGAATGTGGTGGGCAAACATGTTGTACCTCCTAGGCATTGCTATCAATTCTGTAGTAGTTGTGTGATACTTGGGTTAAGAAAGATAACAAGGCCATTGGACTCCAAGTGAGGCTGCAGGGATGGATTAGTGATGTCTGCCACATGCCTGATGGTGTACATGCTCTCCCCTTAGCTGGGAACTGATCTGATAGAGATCAAAAAACTTTTTATTGCATAAGTTCCTTTGCCTAACTGAAGCATTAAGCCAGGGGTAGAGGATTCAAAGTCTTCCAAATATATATTTTCAAGTGTAATCCTTTAACATAAAAGTTTGGTGAAGAATACTCTTCCTGGTCAATCAGACTAAAGGTCAACATCATGGACACAGTGTTCCCTCCTCTTTCCACTGGCACACAGTAAGGTCACTTTCTGGAGAACATTCAGAAGGAACTTTGAAAGTGCTGCTAGCTTTTCCACAAAAGCAAAAGCATCAAAGCTCTCCTTTCCAGAAGTAACCCCAGCCGGGATCATTTAAGGACTCCACTGATTGCACAGCTACTCGCTTCTATCCCAGTAGATGCTGAGTTCTCTTTTCTCACCCTGGGCCCTCCCATAGATCTATACATCAAACACAACCCCAAGATCAGGGGTGACAATGTTGAGATTTTGTTTCAGACTTTGTCTCTGAAACTATTTAAGGAAACCTTGTACAAAGTCATTTCAAAATGGTAAGAAAACCATCCCAACATCTCCCCCACTACAGTAGTGTCCAGGGGCTTGGCAAACTCAATATTAACAAATCAAAGCCATTCTTTTTTTGATTGTTTCTACTGTTCTCAGCCAGAAAAAAATCCTTAATTTTTTTTCTAATGTAAAATATCAAAGAAGTGCATTTCACAATTCTTATCAAAAGAACTGCATTACAACCAGAAGTGCATCATTAAGTGCTGACAACCTCCACTTCTAGTTTTGTAATCACATTTATTGTATTTCCCAGGCAATCTTCCTCATCAATTTCTATTTCCCTAATCAAATTACATTGTTTAAAAAGGCAATTTTACTTAATACTTACTGTACTCTGCATTACAATAATGTACGTCCTTGCTCCCTCTCCATCCCAACTCCTCCAGAACATTTATACCATTTATCAACTGTAATGGGCTCTCCTCCTCCTTATTCTTGTTGAGGACAAACCACTCAGGCCAGGGTGATTCAAAAGTTTCCTTATAAAAAGTTCAATGGTTATAATGGAATAAAAAGCTTTCCTAGACAAATGGATGTTACGAGGAGAAAATAAGTAAAAATACATTGATTTTCTCAAGATTGCAAGAAATATTCCTTCTCTGGAGAAAGACCAATTTGCCTTTAAAAATTAATTCAGAATCTTCTAAAAGCTTCCCAAAGCCCAAATATTAAAATCATTTAAGTAAACCTCAGGGAAGGAAAAAGACCCAGCAATCCACAGATGGACATTATGGGACATGGGGAGAAATCAATAGGACTTGATGGACATGGAACAGTAGTAGTCCAGTTGAGTAGGAGTCCAGAAGATGAGGTGGGAAAAAGGGGGTGGTGAATGGATTTACAGGTTCGGTCTTTTCTTCTATAACTGCTGACCAGAGAAGCCCTGCCAGTGCTGCTGGATGGAAGTAAAAGGAACATAAGAGATTCAGGCAAGGACTGAGGCTCAACTCAGGTTCAGGCAAGGACTGAAATTCTATTGCTACTTAATGCATCATCTGAGCCTCGAACACATTTGAAAAAAAGATTAAAGTTATATATTATAGCAATGTTTTAGGGCAATAAGTACTATAAGATTACATCATCAGGTATATGGCCAGAAGCATGTCCTACTTAGTATGGAATATTAAATTGGATTTTTAAAAAGAGTTGAAAAATAGAAACTATGTTAGAAGGTTCCCCCCACCCCCCACCCCCCAGTTTTTTTTTTTTTTTTTAATGAAATGCTACCTGGGCTGGGGCTGAAGCTCAGTGGTGCTGTTCTTGCCTCACATGTGTGAGGCACTGCGTTTGATCCTCAGCACCACATAAAAATAAAAACATAAAAAGATACTGTATCCATTTACAAAAATAAATAAATAAATAAATAAATAAATAAATAAATAAATAAAATGCTACCCACCATAGGAGAACAATTCCATGGAGCACAGAAAAAGTGAAACTGAACTAATGAAGAGACTTTGCAAATCATTTAGAAAACTACTAGCTGCCAGGCCCAGTGACACATGTAATACCAGTGCCTCAAGAAGTGAGATGGAAAGATCACAAGTTTAAGGCCATTCTTGGTAACTTAGTGAGATGCTTTTTCAAAATAAAAACTGAAAAGGGCTGGGGATGTAGTTTAATGGTAGAGTGTCCCTGGACTCAATCCCTGCCAAAACAAAACAATGCAAGAAAATTACTAATCTAGGATTTGAAGGGTTTTTTGGTTTTGTTTTTGGAAACCAAAATTTAAATTATCTATCTTTACTCATCAGGAAACAGCAAATATGCCATATCTTATACTTTAAGTCCTTTTGTGAATATCACCTGTCCTTAAGTAAAAACACATAACCAAACAAAAAAGCTCTATATTTTTATTTAACTCAAGAAATTTAGGCACCTAGACAGCAATGAATCACACAAGAAAATAGTTTGGTTCCCTAGTAAATGGAATACATATCATTGCCAGGAATAATTTGCCTTGTCTTGAAGTGCCAATGAACATCAAAAGTAAATGTTTCTGGTTTTTGTTTCACAAAGTTAGGGTCTTAAAGTACATGCTTAGGTAAAATTCTTAAGCAATAACTAGCCTGTTGATGGTGGATCTATTTTAAAGCACCACATAACAGTATGTGTTTACATCACCCTTTTATTTCATAGTTAGAAATAATACAGTTCCACAGGGTAAGTCATCAATAAATAATGGTGTTTAATCATTAAACGTAAAAATCCCAACTCTTTGGCATCTGACAGGATTCTATTTCTTGTCAAACTATTGACTGTATAGATATAGTTAATCTTAGTGATCATTCATCAATACAATATGTTACAAAGGTGCAATTTACTTTAAAATATACAATAGCTGAAAATTTCCAGCCCACCAAGAAATCTGATCAACTCAGTAAGATATGCGTCAACCTCCCAAGGCTCTTCCACATGGTTTGCCTTAGTAAAAGTACAATAAACGTTGATTAAGAGTTCCTAGGGTTTCCTAATACTTACTTTGCTCTAAATAAAGTTTGCCATTCTTCCTGGCTAAAGGAAAAAATCACAATTGTGCCAGGAATGACCCACTCATTAATTAAAAGGTGTTCTTATTTTTATAAGCAAGATTGCTAACACCCGAGAAACCTCACACTCCCCACAGTAAAACAAAAATATGCGGTTTTATGTTGCCAGAGATGCCAGATTAGTAATAAATTGCACCTTCAAGAGTCAAAAAAGAAAAAAAAGAAAGAACAAAAGAGTGAAAGGAAAAAAAAAAAGAAAGAGAAATGTTTACAAAAGGTAAGTTACATACATTTTTTCCAAAACATATTCAAGAATAGTTGAGCTGTATTTGTTACTAAAGCCAGGGCATTATTTCTTTAGCAACAAATTGAACCAGTGCAATTGACATAAATTGTTAAGTAATCCAGGATTAACCCATTAAAATTACAGAAGCACTTTAGTCTCCTACACTAATCCTAGAAACTGGAATTTCAATGAGTGCTGTGTTGCACAGAACTAAAACTGGAATGACCCAATGCCATGCTGAATTAAGTTCATACTTAGTTTAAGCATTCAATAGTAGAAATCATGAGATCTTCTATTAATGTCCCATTCACTTACAGAAAATTCAGATGCAAACAGTCTTATGCCTATAACCCACAATTAAAAGAATCCTTTCCATTGTAAAGTTCCAAGTGAATTTTAAATTAGAAAATAAGCACTAAGGAAACTTTTTCAACTCATGAAAACTTCAAACTGGAAACTTTCTGGAAAAGCTTCCCCCCCCACCCACCCATTGTAAAATAAATACTTTGTATCCCAAATTTAATTTTATTAAGACACACTTTAATAACGCTATAAAGAAATATTTTACAGCCATAGAGATCAATAACTTTCCATGCGGAAATAAAAAATTCATTGCTCAATAATATTATTGAGACAAGTGAAGAAAGATTATTCTCTTAATCTGAAATGTTAATTTTTTTCAGTGCAAAACCAGTTATAAAATATTTAAACTCAATATTTAAAAATAAAAAGTGGTCCAATTCAGCAATGTTCAAGTTCTAAATTTCATAAAACAAATCATTACATACATTTTATAGTAAAATACAGAGTTTCAAGAAGTACTTGTGTACTTAAGATATAAATTTCTAATGAATCATACCAAGTCAGCAACAACCAAGCAGATAACATTCCCAATTTGAGTGTCAGAATCATAAAGATGAAATTACTGTCCCAAAGCCTTTTTTTGTTTGTTTTTTTTTTTTTGTTTCCTAGCTAAAGAGCTATACAAACTAACGGTCAACATTCTGTTTTCTTTGCAGTTGCGTGCTCTAGCATGATACCCTCCCCCCAAGTACCTGTGATTTCATTCCTGTATTCAAAATTTGATCCAAACAATTTTTATATTCCAGGGACACTTAGCTGATATAACCATCTATAATGTGAAGAGTCATGTACAGAGTACAACAGTGGATTTTCTCTAGCCAAGTGCAGGCTGACCTAAAGTGACTTAAACTGTGAGAGTCATTCATGTATTATTCCTAGCAAACACTCGGTCCCCGCGGAGGGTTAGGTGTTGAAGCTGGTACTGTAGCACTTCCGTGTCAGCTGGCTCCTTGATGTTCATTTTATCTAGATTGAGGTAGTCCAGAGATTTGGAGTGAGCCCTCTTACCTTTAAGAAGACAAAGAGGCAGGGGCCCATGGAGGGCCTTATAAGGTTCATAAGGTAAGGATTTAGTGCACTTGTCTCCTGAGCTGGGCATCCGCCTTCGCCTCCTGCCATTGACAGCTGGAATCTCATATGGCTGGTAGTACCTACTTCTGGTTTTATACAAACGAGAGGAACGTGCAAGTCCTGCATCCAGCTGTTTGGAGCGAAAGGAAGGCAAGGCTTCTCCCTTGCTCTCTTCACCTCCAGTGCACTTCTGGGCCAACTTCAGGAGTTCCTCGCCAGTTGTGAAGCCAACCAAATAGTTAGAGTCCATGTGGAGGATCTGGTAGCCTGACACAGTTCGCCTCATGGGTGAGCAGGGTGTGCTGGAGCAGCGAGGCTTCTCTGCCTCTGCTTTTCCTGGGGAGCTCACCTCAGCCACAGGCAAGGGTAGGGTGGTCAGGGTACTTCTGGACTCCCCATTTATGTCTACTTCCATTTTAGGCACCAATCTGCACACTCCTAAAAGTAAACAGACTCAGATTAGAAGAGTGTAATGCACAGAACCTTAAGTCACGCTGGATGATTTTAGAAGTCGGGAAGCCATGAAATGAGACTCATCTGAAAGGTAGCTGACGACAAATTGACAGATTTTTCTCCACGTCTATTGGACATTTAGGTAAATGAAAGGACCACTACCTCTCTGCCTGCAAGAACTCAAGCAAATTAAACAAAAGCCTGAAGTACTATGAAAAAGTATACATGAAAACACAAACAGAAAATAATACTCCTCTAGTACTAATACACCCTGCAACCAGATAAAGTTTGCTCCTTGATACAATATGAAGCAAATCAAATCCAGATCTCAACATTAAGCAAATAAAAGCAAGCAGAGAAAGTTTCACAAGAATTTTCAAAGTATTTTCAACTTGAGAATTATATTTTTTTCCTCATTTAAATTCATGTAAGTGGTTGGCTCTTTATACCTGAAATTACATTCAATTGTGTTTAAGAGCCATATTATAAAATTGATCACGCTGGTCAGTTTTTTTTTGAAGAATTCAATTTAGACCTGAAAATATATATTTTTAGGGTATGGAGGAGTCTCTGAATAAGGTTCCCCCAAACATTGCAAATGTTGTCCGTTCCACATCCTCAATGAATTATTTTAAAAAATCATTTTACAGTTTACAAGTTAATTCTAAATTCAATGTCATGGAATTTTTTTATTTTTAAAAGTATATAAAATATTAAATGTCATTTTACATGTCTATTTAACCATAAAACATAGCATGATTTGAGATAGTCTGCAATACCTCAGACATTCTTTTGAATAGTTTAATAAATAGCCAGAATGATTCAAAATGAATACTAACATGTTCATTACAATTATCACATTACACCGTTTGGAGAAGCCCCACTGACAAGAAGTAGCACAAGTATTTTAGGTTACCAGAAAGTTACAGATAAAACAAATTTTGAAAACCAGACACTAAGGGAAATAGTGACAATGTCATTTCTGAGAAACTTGATTTCTACTTCATCTTCAGTTGGAAGTAGTTTACAGTGTTAAAGTATCTCAGATCACTAATCAAAATGTCAAATAACTGAGTTTAAGATGGCAAAATCTACAGAAAAAGGTTAGTACATAACATAATTCTTATGAATCCTTTCACAAAACAAGTAACTATTTCCTAATTGAAGCATTTCTTTAAGCTCTATATTCACTTCAAAGTCCAATTGAAAAACTAAAAACAAAATGAAACCTTATTTCTCCACTTGCATGCTCTACCTTCCTTTATTAAAAGACTGTGAAGTTACCAGATGCCATTCTTGTTCTTACTATGGTCCCCATCTACAGCACAACTGAAAACAAACATTCATAATGATTCCTGAAGCAAAGCAAATGTCAAAGGGATCAATACAGGGATCACTATTTACTCTAAACCTTATACTATTTCCAATTTCTATTTTACAAAAATGCCCTAGCCTCTCAACCCTTCTAGATTTAAAATAAGTGGCCTTGTCATATTTTATTAATGTAAACTAAATTTATATTCCATTGTGTAATTTGTTTTTGTGGGTAGGATCAGGATAGTGACTGCTAGGTACTCTGATATGCATAAAATAGTATTTCCCAGCTAATAAACTTTCAAGGACCATATGAAGCATCACCATATTTTTAGGCTAAACAAAAACATTTAGCCAAATGAGAAATTAATTCTTCCTTTATCCCCAATTCTATTGCCCTGAAAGAACATAAGAAGACAGATCCAAGGCCTCTGACCTATATAACCTGACTGGCAGCTACAGGTAGGAACTGCTTCTCTGATGTTCATTCTGAAGGTCAAGGAAGGGATGGTCATAAAGCAAAATAACCCAAGCCATGAGGAAATAGCAGGTCCACATAAAGATTACATGCACATGCCCAACAAGCTACCAAGAGAGTGACACTCAAGCAATGACCTCCACAGGCAGTGGTGAGACACTCATCTAGGTCCCTTCCAAATGTGACTATTCATGAGAATCCACAGATTCCCAGCAACCACCTCATTCTCATTTGTTATATTAGAAAGAACTTAAAAATCTATGAATTCAGATCACACCCATTCTAAATTAGGTTAATAATTCTTCTCAATGCTGAAATTCATCTCTTTTGCTGAAGAAGGAAATAATTGCTGAGCAAATCAACAGTGTACAAAGTTGCAGTAAAGAAGAGTGAGCAACCAGGTGCAATAGCACACTCCTGTAATTCTCTCAACTTAGAAGGCATAGGTAGGAGGAGCTCAAGCTCAAGTCCAACCTGGTGTCTTAGCAAGACACCATCTCAATTTAAAAAAATATAAAGGGCCACTCAGTGGTACATGCTTATAATCCCAGTGAATCAGGAGGCTGACACTGGAGGATTGCAAGTTGGAGGCCATCCTCAGCAACTTAGAAGGCCTAAGTAACTTAGTGAGATCCTGTCTCCATACATAACTAAGTCATTCGGGGTCACTCCAGGTGAACTGGGCTGGCACGAAATAATCACACTGAGACAGAGAAAAAATCTTTTTCTTGGGATTCTTCAGTGACCTCCCCTCTCCTCCAGCTCCCACAAGGGAGGCAGACAAACAAGGGTGGGGGGGGCATTCCCTTTTTATTGAGGGGAAGACACTGGAGAAAGTTCCACCCCAATGAAGGGGGTCAGGTTTCAGAGGGTTGAATCTAGGTTCCTGATGTCTGTGGTCAGCAGATTGATAGACATCTTGAAAGGCCACACCATCTCATGTATTGTGTGGGGATCATAGGCAGAGTGAGTGAAAAGGACACATACATCACCAGCCAGATGAGAGGCATCATTGTCAGTCCAGTCCACTCATGTACTCATGCTCACAGTTCACACACACAGCCCATGGCTGGCTCCCCACAAGACCCTACCTCAAAATAACAAAAAGGGCTGAGGATGGAGCTCAATGGTAAAGTGCCCTCTGGGTTCAACCCCTGGTACCAAAAAATATAAAAAATAATAAAAAGTAAAAAGGGATGGGGATAAGGCTTAGTAGTAGAGCACTCCTGGGTTCAATCTCCAGTACCACACACACACACACACACACACACAAAGAGTGAGCAGAAGGAGGAGGAGAAGGGGAAGAGGAGGGGAAGGAACAGGAGAAAGAAAAGAGATAACACAAGCTTCTGTGTCAATAGAGCCATCAAGTTTCTTCCCACACTAAACCAGTCCTGCTGTACTAAGACAAACAACTGGGAATTCATAGAATCTCTCATGTTGAAGGTAAAAGATGGCAAGATATAAGGGTCTAAATAAATAGGAAAAATGACATACTGGCTAGCAAATAAGTATCTGGAAAACTAGAAAAGTGAAGAAAGTAAGTTAAGAAATGTATAATGTTCACAGATGCAGCATGAAATACATACTGCTGTTGGATGGATAAGTAACATCACTTAAGTGTCCAATAGCCAATAACACCATAAGGAAATATTACCCGAGTCAAGCAAAACTATTTAAACAGATCTTCAGATATCTACCTGGGAGAAAACAGTTTAACTTGGGTTGTTACATAGAATAAACATCCATGGTTTAAGTTCTTTAGAAATTTCAACCAAGCAGCTTGGTGTAAGTAATCTATACTTTACTGAGGCAGACAACATACTCATTAGAGAAAATACTACTTAAACACAACGTTAAAAACTAAGGATTTTAATATCCTTTGACATAAAAATGTAACCTAACAACTAAGGCCAATGCAAAACAGGTCCACACTCTGGATGAAATTTCTGAATGGGATTCTCATTGCATTGAAACACAAAAGACTCATTTTAAATATTACATATACAGCTGCTACCTGCTGAATTTCTGACAAGCAATTCTAAGAGCTAGAACACTGCACTTTTTAGATATTAAACATCAGTCCTTTTGCACCAAACAACAATGTATTCTCAAAACAGCTCTTTTGGGTGGTTTCATTGATCTCTGTAGTGTATAACACCATATGAACAAGAGCATCTTCATGTCTTGATATTCATATAGGAACATGAATGCTAGAACCAGGATTCTCACAAATGGCTTACATTTTTTAAAGGATCCTTTTACTTATATATTGCCCTTCTCAGGACACCTACTGGGTAGCTCTAAGAAAGCTAGATGGAGGTTGGGTTTCAGCAAAGAGAGCTCTGATTTGGTAAATATTTCATTTTTAATTGGACAGAATGCTTAGTAAGCATTCAATGTAACTGAAAAGTAAACATTTTGCTATTAAATTCCTAAGAATTTCTTGACTGAATTTAAATACTGAGGCAAAATCCTGAGAAAGTTAGAGAATCAACTTTTCAGTTTTTTTGATTTTTTGTTTGTTTGCTTATTAAACTAGAATCTACTTAGGTACTTCTCCACCTGAAGAAGTTTAAGTACCTTCTAATTCCAGAATTTGACTAATAAAATATCAGTAAAAAATGCAGTCTCAAAAAGAGATAATCTTCCCTCCCCCACCTGCAGCAGCTGGAATTACAAGTATGCACCACTGTGCCTGACCAGCATGATATCTTGATATGTGGATGGTCAATATTTTCCACAGCAAAATTCATTTTCTTTTCCTCCTTCTTTCCTTCCTTCCTTTTTTCCCCCCTGCCCCCTTGGGGACTAAACCAGGGCCTTTTTGTATATTGATTATGTATGTGCTCTACTACTGAACTATATATACTCCAGCTCCCAATTTTGTATTAAAAAGCATTCATTAGGAAATAAAACTACAGTGACTGTAACTGGAGATAGCTTATGTTTAGCAGCATATTCCTCAGGTTTCATCAAGAAAAAAACTGCTTACAGGCTTGGTATTTTTAGCAAGCCTATTCATAATTCAGCATTTTGTTTCATATTCTAAAATAAACCTGTATCCCAAAAGCACACTGCCATGATAAAGGATTACAAAGCGCTCTTGCAAGCATCACCACAAGAATGAGCAACAAGCAGGACTTCCACTGCACCAACAAACAGTAAATCAAGAAATCAGTCCTGATGCTAACTTTCGCATTTGTGACCACTAAAAATTAAAGACCCACGATGCCTTCTTTTTCCATTAGTGCTTTTCACATGTGTTTAAGGAAAAAGACTGGAGCCAAAATAGAAAAAAAGTGTTAATGTTTTAGTAAGAGAAACAACAAAATTTCTATGGACAGCAGCAAAATTTCTATGGACAAAAAGAATGTAAAACAGAAAATAAAATTATGCTTTAAAAATTGAGCTTCTTAAAACAAGTACTAAAAGCAAATATGATTTTTTTAAATGATACCTAAAAATCTTCAATATCAAATTTCTTCACAATCCAACCAGTAATAATAGCACTGAATTATTTATAAAGTATGAAAGACCTGGCAGTGGTAGTATGTACTACTGTATTTCTTTGAAATACATGAGGATTCAATTAGACAACACTAGACAAGATAATACTAATTCTAGAGAAAAATGTACACACACAGTACATGTTTAAAGCAGTGAGTATAGCATGCAATTGTGAATTTTGGCTGAAAATAAAACAAAAGGTCCAAACTACAACACACACACAATACATGTGTGCAAGGGAACCTAGTCTACCACAATGAGAACACTCAAATGGTTATGACTATATATGGAATCTGCATAGTCATTGAATTCTCTCCAAGAGTCCAAACCTCCTATACTCTGGGCATAAGTAACAAGAGTTTGAAAATATAATCTAAATGCCCTTAGTTCCTTCGACCACCCTTGAAAATAGCTCATAAGTTTCCAAACTGCTATTCAAAAATTCTTTCAGAGAATACTGCATCCTAGTAGTATTTCATATAATAAAGAATTAAGTGATTTAACAATTTCCTATTATGTATATTAAAAGTATTTCAACTCTCTAAAGCTTTAGCTGAGATGTCAAAAGACACAGAGACCTGTTGTTAGATCCCTATACCAACTTGGATAAGTCTATTTTTGCTGTGTTCTCTTAACACATCTTCTACATAAAATATATAATCACATACTAGGAATAATCACCTGGAAATATATTTCTAAAAAAAAAATTCTAAAAGTAAAATTTCCAGGTAAAAGAATATGTGTTTTACATTTTTATAACTCTACCACAAAGCTTTAAACATTTTTTCCCCATTTTTTAATAAGGGGAATGTATTTATTACCTTATAAAACTAAAAATTTATGTAATTTTTTTAAAGTGCAACTTACTCACCAAGAAAGTGCCTGTTTCTACTCTACTGCTTATAAACAGAAGTTACTGAAGAAGAAAGGAAGAAAATATGCCCAAAGGATAATATGTTTCATTTTGCCAAAGGGAAAAGATAAATGAAAGGGACATCATATCCGTTCTTTGACCTCAAATATCTCATACTATTGCACTTAGATATTTCTTGAAAAGAAAATTTTAAAACTGTCAAATTTCCTTAAACAAAGGGAAAATAAAATTTATATATACTAGAAAAATATACATGATGGACATTTTTAGATTATCAGGAACAACACACACCATCCTAACAGGAGTATTCTGGCTGAGAGTAAAAGCAAACAGGCCTCCAAAACACCACTTGTTTAGAGGATCCTCATGTGCCAGGATGATCAGTCAATAGAATGAGCAGTCACACCACAACCTGCCTGGAATCTGCACAGCCTGAACACTCTCCAGAAAGCCAACCTTCCTATAATATTCTAGAACTGTAACTAAGATGCTTTAGTTCCATAGACTAGCTCTGAAAAATTGTTCACGTTTCATAACTGCTATGAAACTGCTTTTTGAAAACTATTGTATTCTAGAATGTTTTTTAGAATCAGGCTTATCAAAAATTGTACTAACAGTAAAAAACAAAAAAACTGCTTCCTGTACTTTAACTGTACTTAGCAACATATAGCCATATCCCATGAAACAGATATGAACATAACCATCTTATACATTTAAAACAAAGTCATAATGTTAATAAAATCCTTTTCAAGAAGAACCTGAAGTGAAATATGCACCAATAAAAAATAAAAATAAACATAATAGCCAAGTGAAAAAAAAAATACCTAGGGCAGGATTGAAGGGATACTTCCAAGTTTTTCCATATGGAAACAAATAAATAGGTTTTGTTTAATTTTTTTAAATACCTAAAATAAACCATTCAGAATGGAGTCATTCTTTGAGAAATGGGATATTCTAAGCATGACTAATATTAGTCTAGAGAAGACCAGAATCACCTAGTCTTGATGCCAGAATAACTTGGAATTCACCCACCTGGAAGCTCTACAGTTGGAGTGATAGACAAGTAGACATAAAAGCCATGAAGACAAGGGCTTGCCTGCAGCCATGAGAGTAGTTTGTGGCCATAACTACAACCCAAGTCTCCCGGCTCAAAATTCAATACATGATTATGCATCATGCATGATTCTAGTCTGTGGCTCCCAAACTTGTCTACATATTGAAATCATCCAAGGAGCTTCAAAATTACTGTTATCTATGTTTCACCTAGATTTGTGATTTAACTGAATGGGGGTATATCTGGGCTCTTACATTTAAAAATGAATCCAGGTGTCTCTAATATGCATTGAGTTTTGGGAACTTGTATATAAAACACATCAACAGGAGAATTTAACCCAAGCTCCTGCTTTTTTTTTTTTATAATTTGAAATTAATCAGATTAAAGAAATTTTTACTCCCCTAAGTTCCCATCTCTTTTTAGTCATGTTGATAGACATAATTTTTCCTATTTCACTAATAATCACTAACAACCTGTCCCTAAGGCCTTCCTCCTAATGTATTGTTTTTAATCCACTGAATTTTACTATATGTAAGTTTTACTTCAAAAATCTGACATTAGCTGGGCAACGTGGTGCACACCTGTAATCCCAGTAGCTAGGGAGGCTGAGGCAGGAGGATCGCAAGTTCAAAGCCAGCCTCAGCAAAAGCGAGGGGTTAAGCAACTCAGTGAGACCCATTATCTAAATAAAATACAAAATAGGGCTCAGGATGTGGCTCAGTGGTTGAGTGTCTGGGAGTTCAATCGCCAGTAACCGCCTCCCCTCCCAAAAAAGAACTGACATTAAAAAATAAAAGAAGTCTTTGTCATATATTTCCAAGTTTAAGATGGTCCTCCAGACTTTATAATATTTTACACTGTATAATCTTAGAATCCAAAAGAATCTTTTTTAAAAATATTTATTTTTTAGTTATAGGTAGACACAGTATCTTTATTTTTATGTGGTGCTGACGATGGAACCCTGTGCCTAACACATACTAGGCAGTTGCTCTACCTCTGAGCCACAACACCAGCCCCCTCCCCCCAAGGAATCTTAAAGGCTGTCTAGTATATGTCTGATCACCTTTAATGACATGTAAACTTGCTGCCTCCTATGTTGATTCATTTCACCTTTTGTAATTCTGCTAGAATGTTACTTTACTTACAATATAACATATACATTCAAGTATAACATAAACAAACACATATATGCATAGAGGTAGACATAGCCACACACACATGTGCCAATATATTCCTTTAGTTTCTACCCACTCCTAGGTTTGTGCTTTATTTCAACTGGGTGAGTTAGTGAGCCAGTCAAATTATTTCTTATTTAAAATCCTCTAAATGTACCTCGTACTTATGTTTTTCAAACTTCTTGCTCTTGTCCTGAAACTTGGAAATTTTAGTAGTGTTCTTATTTTTTTTTTAATGTTTTAAAATGCATTTTATAAACTTGATTGGGTACATCTTCTTAATAGTAATTGGCATTTATTTCTCCCTATTTCTCTGAATCAATCTTCAGCTGATTGCTAATTTAGAAATCTCTTTATTATGAAACTGCATTTTCCAAGGATTATGACCTCTCTAAATAACTCAAAGGACCTACAAAGGTACTGGCCAAGCAGAATGACATATCAAAGCATAGAATCACAAAAATATAGTTTTCAAAATGCTAAAGAGCTACAAAGATCATTACTATTTCCCCCATTCAAAGACCTGAAGTCACACAGACAACTACGTCAACACACAGATGACACATGGGGGTAGGGGGAGACAACATCAATACTTTTAAAAGTTTTAATTCAGTGTGCTAAGAGGAATGCCACACTGGCAGTAAACAGTGACATAATCAGGTGAAAATGATTCTGCTTTGCTCCACCTGTTAGACATCTTTTATGTATGTTCAACTAAAACTTTTTGCAGATTGTTTCGCCTACATTTGTAGATTAATGTTTTTACTAAAATTTTCCCCAAACTATAGCAACTATCTTTAACTACTACATGTTCTAAAATAGTATTCCAAAATTATGTATTCATTTTGCAGAAATTTTAAAATATACTCAAAGAATCAAACATTTTAACAATGTTAGCATACTGCAATCCTAATTTCAGTTCTGACCATTAAAAACTTTGTAAATGTAGTACAGACATTTGCAATAATACATTGACATTGCATATTCACCTATTTATATAATCCTCAAAGCACATTATGATAGCATGTTCATATTCAACTAGTTAACAAACAAAAAAAGCAAACTTTAACTCACCAGACTAAATCCCAGAAGATGTCACTGTATAATTTCCAAAGAGTCCCAAAGGAGCACAGGCATAATAATTTTTCTGTTCTACTCCAGATACTAAACATGAAATACAAAAATAAACCTGTAATTTAACAAGTAACACAATTTACAAAGCAATTATGTGCATTCTAACTGCAAAACAGGATGAAATTAGCAGGAGGTAGTACCAGGTACGGGTTATATAGAATATAATAACTAATTAATTCAATTAAAAAGTAATTTTGAGTTTATTCAGCTAAATGAATCCTCAAACATGTTACCATGCTTGTTCCCAGTATTCTGCTGGTAAACTGTATCTACAGTCTAAGAGTATCTAATGAAGCTAAATAAAGATACAAGAAAAGTTAGGGGCTTACCATGTTCCTTTTACCATCCTAGTCCTATTGCAGCTACCAGATTAACAGTATTCTATAGAAAAACAGAATGCTGAGGCTGGGGTTTAAGAAAGCAAGGGAAGAGTGGGGATCTTTGTGCCGGTCTTGCTAAGAACTCTCTGTCTCCTGACCTTGCATAAATAGCAATCTTTAAAATGAGGCCAATAATACCACCCTTCCTCCCTAATACAGCTGTTACATGGATCAAATGAAATGAGGTAGGTGAACATGTTTTGCATGCTGCAAAGCCCTTTACAGATGTGTGATGTTATTATTATGCAATTAATTTTTGGTGTCTACTCATTTGAGCCATATATAGCAACAATAAAAATTCTTTATAAGATTGCTGTGAAGTAAGTGATTGGGAAGCTCTTGGAAAATATTTTTTAAGACAGAGAAACAACTTGTTTTCACTTCTTTTCAGTTGCTACCTTACTTAAGGGTTCTAGCATCTCCTCTGCGTCTTTCCCCTCTTAACTGGGGAATTAATGTGTAAGAGAATCTATCTTTATCTCCTGACTCCCCTGTTAATTGGGTTAATGTGTTGAGATCAAGAAAATTCTCCAAAGCTCTTTTCCACCTGTAAAGGTTTCTTTGGTCGTTGAGTATTCGTTTATTGTGTTCAACTGGGGGAAAGGGAGCTGGGGCAGGGGTGGGGGGTGGGAGAATTAATGAGTTGATTGATTTTACCAATGCAGGCACAGAGCCTGGAAAAGTGTTAACAGAACTGTACAGCATTCTCAAACTGAAGAGAAACTATAAGGGAAAAGGCAAGGAGGCTGTCACTTGATTACTTTTCTATCTAACACAGATAAGTTTTAGCCAAAGGAAATGGGTAATTTACTAAATTAATGGTATTTGTTTCTTTAGTTCCAGAAACTGGAAGGAGTTCATGCACCAAAAACATCATTCCAAAGAACTTGTGTTGATCAGCCTTTGGAATTCACTGGATGTGAATAATGACATGTTACCTTTCACTATTTTGAAACTGTTTTCAAAGTGGGTAACCAAGAAATCTAGATAATTAAGAATTGGTTCTAGCTCAACGATGAAGCCTCTGGTTTTAACATAAAGTGAATTTTAATGTAGCAAAAATAGGCACCTATTGGTAATTTTTTTTTTACTTTATATAATTACCCCCAAAGAGTTTCCTCAATATTATCATTATAAGGGTCACATTGATATCTACAGTAAGTGGATTTTCAATGGGGAAACCAATATTCTTATTTTTTCTATATGCCAAAAAAAAGTTATTTATGGCATTTAATCTTCATTCCATGGTAGAAGTTACTATCCCCACTTTAAATATTTGATCAAAGGATACTATTTGAGAGTCAGTGTAGGACTGAACTGAATCTCACCTGGTCTGGCTCCAAAGCCCACTTCCTTGTTTTCATGCCTCTGTGGCCTCTGGTCAGTTATAAACACAACCTTTTAAAATAACAATCATGTTTCTGAAAAATGTGTATTTATTCATTTTAAAAGTGGAATCCTATCTTAAATGTTTGGGGAGGTACTTTATCTAAAAGCTTAATACCTCATTTGTGAAATCATTGGGGGAGGTAGTTTTTACTACTTGCTCTAAGGTTATTTTTAACTTGAAAAACATTAAGACTTTAAGGTACATAGTGGAGGGTATTATACAGAATCCTTCATAAATCATGGACTTCTTAGAAATTCCAAGCTATTTTTTAAATCACAAACTATAAGGCATGGGGGAAAAAAGTTTCAGTCAGTACTTGCTGGTTATACAGTTGGGCCAAATATAGATAAGTATTTTCATTTCACTTTTCAGGGCTACATTTATCACAAAGTAAGACAGATTTCATTTAGAGTTTTACAAATTTAGACTGAAAATCAAAGTGTAGAAACTGATTGTCCCTGTTACACAGGTGCCAAGTCAAGAATAAAAGACAAACAGTACCCAAGGGAGCAACTCAAGGGAAACCAAGGTGAGACACTCCACTCCAGTCCTGGTGTTTACTCACACCACTCTCTCTGCTGTGTGTTAACTGAGTATGCCTGACAGGCACCAAGAGGAGGAGGCAGACAAGGATGGTTAAAAAGAAAAAAAAAAAAAAAGTGAGGTAAGAAATCACAAAATAAAACAACAACAAAAAACCTCCTCTGTAAGAGATTGCCTATAAAGAAATCTACCACAAAATTATACTAAGGGTTTTACCCCCATCTCCTATAAACAGGAATTAAAAGATGGTAATATAAATGCCCCCCCCCCAAATGTGTCTTTCCAATGACACCCATTCTTAGTATACTTTAAAAACATATCAACCTCTAACACTTGCAGATGGCTATGGCCTCATCCTGGCATGAAGGATTGGAAGGGTATCTATCAATGGATCTCCTGTCACCAGCAGCAAGAGGAAGGTCCTACATGAAATTCTTAGATAGGCACTAAATGTTACACAGAAACAGACTGAAGAAAGTAGAGCCAAGGCTAAAGGACACAATGTTTCCAGCTAAGAGAAGCTGAATCAAACAGAGAGCCCAAGGTCACTATCCTGTAAACAATGAAAAGTAGAAAAATTAAGGGCAGCTACAAGCTGCCCACAAGCATCTGGATAGGGAAGCCACAGATGACTAAGACAAAGGCACCCAACAACCTACTACAAATGAAGATTCTACAAATAGAAAAGTTTGCAAACATTAACTAACAAGTGAGTCCAATTTCTCAGGTAAGGAGATAAATATGATCACAGTTAAAGAAGAAAGTCCTTCAAAAGTAGATGTGATTGTATGCCTTCATTCACAGTCAGTACCCCCTGGCATGATTATTTACAGTTACCCCCTTTAACTCTCAAAAGTGTCCCAGAATGGCAATTATATTGTTATCCTACTCAAATGTGATATATAGTTATAGAAAGGCAATGGATTTGTTTTTTTAAAGGAAGAAACATCTCTTTCTACAGTGGCTTTCCACCAAGTCTGAGGAAGATGTTTTTGTACCCACTCAGGAATTCAAATGTTCACTTAGTCATTCAACAATATCTCTTGAATCTTACTAAATATCTCAGCAAATATATATCTCAGAGACTGGGGCAAATATAAAAAGTGGAAACTCAGGCCAAAGAGAATAACACAGAGAGAAATGGAAATACATAAATCTAACACAGAGAATGGTAAACTTGAATAATACCAAGAAACCAGAAATGAGATTTTTTTTTTCTCCCAAATAAAGAAAGCCTACATTGAAATGTTCAGGTCCCCACAAAATCCTATACACACACCCTTAAATCTGAGGCTTTAGCACAGGCCCATGACCAAAATAAGAAGAAAAAAATTAAAAATCTGTTATTGAAAAAGGATAAGGTTATCAATAGGAAGGCCACCACACACCCATTCTGAATTTTGGTAAATAAATCTCACTAATCATTAAAAATAGCACTAAGAAAAGCAAGGTGAATTTTAGGCCAATAAATTAGTAGAGTGGAAGTGAGGTTTAATTCTTGCTTTCCAAACTTTTTTTTTTTTTTTCTTTATGGAAACAGTATTTCTCACTGTGGCTATTTAAGAAGAGGCCATTTAAAAAAAAAAAAAAAAAAGCAGTTTAAAGAAAGTACATTTTAAAAAAAAATCCATTCAGACTAGTAGAAATATTTTGTTATCTTAAAGACTACTCTAAAACAAGTAAGGGAGAGATGCACCAAAATATCCCAAATTGGAAAGAAACAAAATGACTAATTACCAAAGTAAAACATACAATGTGTTTTAAAAAAACAACACCAAAAAGTTAATCTGTACCTACATGCTCATCTTAGAGGATACTTTCAAATAATCTCACTTTACCATTTGCAATTTGCAAAAATTAAATCATCCAAGGTTTTAAAGAAGAGTTAAGTAGGGTGTGACTTTTCTAAAACCACCCTTGACCTTACAAACAAACCATTAACTTCACCAACATGGTAAGACAAGCCATAATTGGTTCAGTAAAACAAAACAAAACAAAAAAACAAAACAAAAAAAACAAAAAAAAAAAACGTGTTTCTCTTTCTAGTATCGGTTCTTTTAATAGCAACTCCCTTAAAAAAAAATGTGGCATTCATTTTCATTCCATTTCTGCTAGTAAAAATTAACCCAGGTTACTAATATCTTCTTACCAGGTGAAGTCATCCTTCTACTTTTAGAGAAAATATTCAGTTTCACTGCAAATATGACAGACAATAACTGGAACTGTACATTTACACACAGTCCTTATAAGAAATCTGCGTCTTCCAAACATAATGAAAGGGAAAGGTGTACATGGAGGGACTAACCTCCCAAAGGAAAGCTTAAAGCCAGGTACTCATTTTGATAGCCTGATGACATAAATCAAACTTCTTTCAGATAGAAATAAGCTGACACCCCCCGCCCCACCAACTACAACTCATCAAAGAAATTTTAAATCATATATATAAAGTTTTATTATTCCAACTACGACAAATATGTTTGAGTTAATATTAAAAGAGCTCTCCAAAATTTATGGAGATACACAGAAAATAAGCAACTTCACTGTTACGCAAAGTCAATAAATGTATCTTATACTGTGGAATAATTAACACTAAAAGTCTCAACCACAATTAGATAAACCAAAACTGGTAGAAAAACATACCAGTGCATATCAAATTATGAGGTTCCTGTGCTCATTAACTCTTACCTTTCACCTGAACATTTAAAGCTTATAATGCACAGTTACATAATAAATACAAAGAAATCTGTGAACTACTCATTAAACATAGTCGTGTTCGAATAAATTGTGTCTTTGAATTAATAAAGTATCCAAAACTTCTGCAATAATAACCAACACTGTATTCTGAAATGACTGGGCAAATAAACTTTGGGACGGTGTCATTTCTATTTCCCCTTGTCTATTCTGCTTCACAGGATTGAAAAGAGAAACAAAGTAACGAACAACCCGAAATTATAGGCTAGTTTTTGAAAAACATAATGTAAAATGAAACGTTGTACAAGAACAGTTCTTTCGGCTAGGAGTGGCAAGCACACTACAAAATGCTACTGCCTCCATTCTTCATTCTCTTTGAATGATGAAAAAGTTCCCAGCTCCCGTTTTACCTGTGCACCACAGCCTCACACATACGCATAAACACACAGAAATCTTGGCTCGACACAAATCACTAACCCACCCGGTGCACATTGGCGTGGGTGGAGAAGCAGGGAGTCCCTAAGGATGTGGAACACTTGCAAGGGGAAAAGGACAGGGCCACCATTCCCTTGGCGTTTTCATCTCCATTCTGGCAGAGATTTGCAGATTCCACCGCTAGAGAGAGTTTGGCAGCTTCACAATGGGGCCGCTACTCAAGGTCTGACTGCTGCCCGCTTCGAAATCCCTTTCCTACGCTTACGACCCTCCCCAAAGTCCACCCGCGACAGGTGGGGCTAGGGCGGCGATGACCAACGACATCTGCCGCTTTCCCTTCTGGCAAGCTCCGGGCCCAATCCACAGGCGCGCACAGGGCCACAACTGCTCGTCCACCCCAGCCGCACCAGCGGACTCGGACGGCCTTGGCGAAGGTTGCTGCACGGGCTAGGAGGGCTGGTGAGATAGGCCCTGGAGGCTCACCCCCTAAGCGCTATCTGACCCGGGCAGTGGCACCCAGCGCACCACAGAGGGCGCGGCCAGAGGCGCAGCAGGCCTAGAAAGAGCTACTTGTCAAAGGGGTCCCCAGGCCTGCTGCCCCGCAGTAAGGGCACCGCGGCCGAGGCTAACACGCGCGCCAACGCATCCAGACTTCCGCACCGCGGCACAGCCGGAGAGGCGCTCGGGTTCGCTGAATCCCCGCACCTCCCTGGGGAGCGCACGCCGCGCGCACACGGGGGCGCACGCCCCCGCACACTCACTCACACGCGCTGCACACTCACGGCGTCTCCAGCCCCACCCCTGTGCCAAGGACTGCGGGCTCCCAGCACCAGCGCGGGCCCCACCCAGTTCACCCAGAGCTCAGAACCCTACACGGATGCGGGGAGACCGGCCCGCCAAGGCCAGTGACACTGAGGTCGCACCGCCACCCATCCCGGAGGCCAGCCCGGCCGGGATTCCCCAGCACTGCGCATACACTGTGCGCCCGGCCCGGACACGAGGCAAAGAGGAAGGGGCGGCGCCGCGATTGGGACTGGCACCCAGGATCGGTGACTGGGGCAACCCCCCACCTTCACAACCACCCATCACCACCACCTTTTCTGCGGCACAAAAGGTTGCAGATGGAGCCGCGGTCCCCTTGCAACCTACCAGTGGCCTAGAGCTCCACTGCCTCCTCCGTGCCCGGGACCGCGGACCCGGCGACAAGGGCGGGAGAGGTGCAGGGCTGCTGCGCCGAGATGCGGGCAGAGGCCGCCAGCCAAGCCAGCCGGGTACCCTCTCCTCTCCCACCACGCTCGGCGCCAGCTACCGCCCGGCGTAGTCCCCGCCTCCTCCTCCGCCTCCGCCTCCTCCGCCCGCCTTCCCGCCTCCTCCCTCTGGCTGCAGAGGCACAGCCTGTCAGCGCTGAGCCCGCCTCCTGCGCCCAGCCCAGACACCAGAAGGCTGGGCGGGCGGGAGAGAAAGGCGCTAAGAGGCCTAAAGAAGTTGGTGGGGGCGGAGAAGGGGGGCGTTACTGAGTAGAGAGGGAAAGAGGAGCGGTAACACCCCCTCCTCAGTCCAAACACTACTTTCAACTGGAGAGTTTCAACTTACAGGCCTGGGAACGCAGAGCCTTCTCCAGTTAAGTGATGTGCTCAAATTTGTCGTTCGCTAGTCTCTGCTAAAGGCTCAACACTGAACAGAAATAGAAAAGACTGGAAGACCATGAAGTTATATGTCATCTTTAAAAACTATTAAATATCCATTAAATGTGTGTGTGTGTGTGTGTGTGTGTGTGTGTGTGTGTTGGGGATGGGGGTAAAGTTCATATTCTGATTGGCGTAACTTTTTGAATCTGGAGACTTGATCTTTTCCATTCTTGTAAGAAATTATTTTCTTGATCAAGATTATCTTTATGCATATCTCTGCCAGACTGATTCAGTTCAGTGATAAGAATATTTACTGCCATTTATTTAGAGCTCACTATAGGCCAGGTCTTTTTAAATGCACTTCCAAGTTTACATCTCTCAACAATTCGGAAACATATTTTAAAGATGCAGAGAATTTATGTCACTTCCTAGAAGTCACATACCTAATAAGTAGCTGACCTGATGTGAATTCAGAGTGTGGACCCCAGAATTTATAAATGTTGTAAACTTAGATACCAGTCACAATCTCAAACCAAGAGTTCGTTGTTTAAAAAATAGCAATAATGCTTTATCTGAAGATTAAAACAAATAAAATTTTGGTGTACATTTATACAAATTCAAAGAGCACTTGTTTCAGAATCTATATATAATGTCCATTATAATACAAAGGTTAATAAATATAAACACACCAGTTTCACCAGTAGGCTGTTCAGATAGAAGACATTTTGTAGTAGGGCTTTTTGTGTGACCTAAAGTAAGCATGGGAAAGTAGAGGTAAGAGAATGTTTTCATGAATGTTCTCAAATCAAATTTGGAAACATAGGTTATTGTTTTCCAACACACACATAATATCTCAAATATAAAACAGAGCACAACATAGTCTGAGTGGACTTTTCCTTTCCATCAGTACCTTAACACACTGAAAGTTATTTCAGGTTTTAAACTGTTTGACACAATAGTTTATTGTTCTGGTGATCATTCCCATAAAATCAACTCCAAAACATTGTATATTTTATTTTCAGAAACTTAATTTCATTTTTTTCCTATCTGAAATCATATAAACTTTTCAGGAAAAATGCCTTGTACTTGCCCTTTGTTCTGAAAGTTTGGCAATGTTCTTTGGCCAAAAGCAATAAAGTTCTGACTTGCCACTTAGTTTATTAGGCTCACAGCTAGTCCTCCTGAAAGGACATTATCTCCAAATTGCCTCCCTTTCTGGGTGGTACTCTGTGCTTCCATCCCAGCCCTGACTCTTCACCCAATCAAAACTTGGGTCAGTTGTTGAGTGTTACAAAGAATACCTAATAAACCAATTCACCAGGCAATAATGGCTGATAATAGCTTTATGTGTGGCCTCATCAGGGGTATGTCTGTGCCACCTAAAGACTGTGACTGAGTACTATCTTAAGTAGATGGGGTTTGAGCTGCAAGGACTGTGGCTGAGGGGGATTTGTGGGATGGGAATAATGCAGAAGTCCTTCCCAGAATTCTTTTTTGTTCTATGAAGACCTAGTCAATCTATAAAGAAAAAAAATGACACACTAGAAAAGATCAGGCCCAAATATAGAAGTGAACCTGTGATCTGAACAGCTTCTGAACCTGAGAGTTCACATGCTCCATCTCAAATGCCCCTTATATAGTTTTATCTTTGCCTCAAGTCATCCTCTTCAAAAAAAATCACTTTAAAATGTCAGTTGTCTGGGAATGATTATACATTGATGTAAACAGTTTCACCTAGCAATAAAACCAGCTTGAGAGAATAGGATAGATGAACTTGATATAGACATAGTGATATAAAACAGAAACTACCAAGACAGGTGTGCAAGAAATACCACATCCCCTTTTCTACGAGTCAACCTGTTTCAAACAGAGTCTAACCAAGAAAATAGAGACCACTTCGAATATCTACAAACAGGGATAACTGAAAGCAAGGATTTGGTAACAGGGGGATGGAAGATCTCAGAAACTAAACATGGAGATAGTGTAGTAATCCAGAAATTAGTAACCACAGCCCCTAGCTAGGGAAATAAGAGAAGAGGCAGGGTTACTGGAGCCCTGGGGCCAGGCAGTGTGGCCAGCTAGTGGGAACTGCTGCACAGGGGAGACACAGTCACTGCCAAAGCAGCATCTATGGCAGGGGAAGGAGAAAATGTACCACAAATTCTCTTCTCCGCCTTCTGATTCCCTGCCAGTATCTTCCATCGGCCAAACCCGTAAGCAGCTGCCATAAGAACTAGGGAAACAGGATGCAGGAGTCTGCCCACCAAGACACCAAAAACAGGGTAAAACACAGAATGTGAATGTGCCAAGTTTCAGCATATCCTTTTATTTCACTTTCAAGGCTTTAATCTTTCTTCCGGATTTCCTCCACTCCCTTGGGTAGAGACAAAGTTCCAAGGGCATATACCATTCCGTGCTATGAATGGGTGGTGGTGATAGGTAGTGGGGGAAGGCCCTTTGCCTTTTACTCATCTGTCTACCAGAGGTTTCTTTCATATTCTCTTAGAACTATGGCCACATGCTGCATAGACAGGATGGGTCTGCCATACAAATCTGGTTTTTCTTTTCAGCTCTTCCTAGCTCCAGCACTTCTTGAGGCCAGAGAAATATTGGAGGTCTGATACCTTTCTGCTAAGCCTCACACATCTTCAGTCATTCATACTGAAGGGCTCATGTGACATGCTGATCTCTGCCTCTTCTGTCCAGATACAGAAGGATCTCTTCTTAGGGAAAGGTTTTCTCTTCCTTTTGTCTTTTCCAGACACTCTTCCTTTGCCAGCAAACTCTTTCCTCTCTCTAGGCCATAGACTGTTGGCAATAAAAAGAAGACAAAAGAATAAATATTCTGTTAGGCAACTCCTCTATGCCCTGTCACACATCTCTCCTGATGCAACAAACATAAGGGCAAGTACAAAATTGAAAAAAAAAAAATCAAATATCAATGTCTCATCATATTATCCAACCCTAGAAGTATGAGACAGTGGGTACTGTGTGAACCAGATTTGGGGACAGCAGCATATCCATGCGGAGGTGTCCAGCCGGAGGTTGGAAATGTGAATGAGATGATAGACATAGACCAGATACAATTACTAGTGGATCTACTTCCATGAAGATGAAAACTTTAGGGGTAAGGAAAAGTCTTTCTTCTAACAAAAGAGAGCTTCAGGAAGGAGATGCGTACTGCTCTTCAGCTCACTTTAGACCACATGTAACTCAACATTCACATCCCTCTTGTTTATCACTTGAGCCTGTACACAGTTGTTCCCTAATTATAGAACATTCTTCATTCCTGCCTCTGAGTCCAACTCATTTCTACCCATTCCCCTGCTTTCAGTGTAGATGTCACAACTTCTGGGAAGAGTGATTTGATTCTTGATTACTATCAACGTTTGTCCTTTCTTCATCTAACACTTTCCACAGAGTGCTGAAACAGACTGTCTCTCCCTCTGGACTCTGTGTTCCCTTTGGACATGAACTATGTCTAACCCCCAAAGTAAGCCCAGAGACTGACATATAATAGACGCTCATTAAATTTTAGTTTGTTTTAATAGAAATAAGGGGAAGAAGATCCTGCAGTACCGCTGCTAGAGCCAGCTTTTATCTGAGTCAGGAGAATTGATTGCTAAATTTTCAGGAATGTTGCAAGCTGGTTCTTAAATCAGTTATGGAGGGTGTATTTACACTATGGAAATTGGCAAACACTATGAACAGGGCTCCTCATCTCTTTAGTCTCCCCACCCACCTCCAAAAGCAAGGTTATAAGCATACTCCAGATGAAGGTCAAAGGTCCCTCCTGTGTACAGAGTAGCAAGGTAGATCAGAGAATTAAATTGTGTAACTTCCAAAATATTTTTTTCATAGAGCAAAGTATAATTAGAGTTCCCTAATTTGCCTGGAAAGTTCTATTTGACTTTTAATTATATTATAAAAATAGGGAAAATAGAGGCAGAAAAGGAACAAGAATAAATTTGAAAGTAAATGTCATAAGATAGTGTAAATTATGTAAATGTCTTCTGGGTTTCAGCTCTGACAGCAGCTTGCTGTGGGACCTGGGGTTGGTCACTAAATTATAAACTTCTTAAGAAACATCTCTGAGTTGTGTTTGTATATGAGTCTCTCTGAATACTTACACTGGCAAATAATAAGTACTCAAAAATTATCACCTTAATTTTGCTAAGTTAAACTTTACTTCTCTTGGCCTCAGTTCCTTCATCTGCAATTAAGAGATGAGACACAGGCTCTCAAGAGGGACTAATAAATAGCACCCATATTCCCTGCCTCATTCCAAATAAACAGATAAATAAGGAAAAGGCATATAGATGTAGCCAATTGTTTCTGTAAAACTGGGGGACATAGTTTAGTGTAAAATTACAGTGGCCCCACTTTAAAAAAAAAAAAAACAACAAAAAACTTATAGGCAACTTTTGATCAGGCAGGCCTCCTCACATCATGATTCAGGAATTGAGGAACACTGACATCCATGTAGGTGCTTCATCCCCAAGAAGGCAAGGACAGCAGCTAAGGAGAGCATGCCCAATTTAGTTCTCCAGTGAGATTACTTCTTTCCTTGGGAGGGATAGAATGAGGTGGTAGAGATAGACCAGAGATATAATTACTAGTAGATCTACTTCCATGAAGATGAAAACATTAGGGGTGAGGAAAAGTCTTCCTTTTAACAAAAGAGAGCACCAGAACATCTTCAGAATCCCTTCCAGTTCTGACTTATTGAAGCATACCATGTGCCAGACCTGTGTAGGTAACTGAGAACACAAAGAGAAGACGAAACAGTGCCCTTGAGGAATTGAAGGTCAAGTAAATAAGGCAGATAAGTAATTATACAATCATAATTTAGTGTCATAATATTCTATGATTCTTTCTTTGATTTTCTGAAGATGTGTTTATATGGGAAAATGAGGCCCAAGGCTCCAAATAACTGACATGCAAACTTGCAAAATTAAGCTCCATGATTGTTTGAAGAGAAATTTCGGGAGTTTCCCTCCGTGGGGCCTGAGAATCACATAACTCTTTCAAATCACAATATTTTCATCATGGAAGTAAGTGAAATTAACAAAGTTTATCAATATTAATTGTTCATAGTCAAGATGTGCCCAAAACACTGGTCTATGTAAACTAATATGAAGTAACCTCCAAAATAGAAAAGTAAATAAAAATAATGTATAAAACAATGGGTTTTATACTACATGATTGTGGGGAAAAAATGTTATGGAAAAAAATGTGCTCTTCTCTGTGTTAAAATGAAATGAGACTTCTCCTGGGAAGATGGAGTAGATATACTTCTCCCTGTTCTTCCCACAAAATACAATGCAAAATCCCGGATGTTTCATATAAAACAAATGTAAGAAGACTGAAAGGAATAGAGATAATGACAAACCAACTAGAGGTTTTTTGTAACATCTCCCTTTAAAATGGTTACAATTGTGAAATCACTGGATTTTCTTTTTGCCTCATGTATCACAGAACTGATGTCAGAGAAGATAGCAAAAATAACAATGAATGAAGCTAGAAAAGAAAAAAAGTCTAACAAAATCTTACACTCTTTAGCCAAAGGACAAGGAAAGGGGAAGACCACAAAGACAGAAACTTTTAGCTCTATTCCAGTAAAACACACAAATTTTTTTCAATTGATTAATTAACTTTTAAAAATGTGGCCCAGTAGAAACCAAGTGGAAAGCATGAACTTTCACCTTTGCTATGCTGTGGGCATTTCAACACCAAAACCTCACTGGTGTCAGAGAAGGTTAACTGAGAAGTAAAATAAATTTCTCTCCTTTGTGGTGTTAGTGGGAGCCCCTGGGAAGTCTATGTTTCCATTCCATCTAGTGGCACAAGGAATTCTTTCCAGTTCCTAGTCGGGTAGAGTCAGAGGAGGTCGAATGATATTAGTGAAAATACCTTGAGGAGCAGTAACAAAGCAATCCTGACGTTTTCCATGCAGGTTGCATCAACAGAGGTTTGTTGGAGAGCCAGATTCCTGCCTAACCTACCTCCCCAGAAGTGATGAGGAGTCCACTCATTCTGGTACCAACAAAGGTTGAGTGGAGAACCTGGACATTTATTACCACCTGCACTTTCCCTTGTCCTGCCAGAGGTGCCCAGAGAAGTGCTGAGGTCAGAAGCTTAAATAAAACCCAACATCTCACAAAATTTTCAAGTTAAAGATCATTCATTAAAAGCAGAACAATCTCAACTTATGAAAAAAGACAATCTATAGATGCAGTGCCAGCATTGAGGGGACACAGATTTCAGAATTATCTCACAATAATTTTTAAGCAATTACAATAAAAATGCTTTAACAAGCTATTATAAGAATGTTTGAAACACAGAAAATGAAGCAAGATGCAATGGTGCATTCCTAGGTTGAGGTATGAGAAATAATTAAATCTAGGAGCAACACACCTTCACCACTCTAAAAATAGAAAGATTAATAATAGAAGAAATAGAAAGTCCCAGCCAAAAGTCAAGCATAGTAGGGCATGCCTATAATCCCAGTGACTCAGGAGGCTGAAGCAATAGAATCTGTAAATTCGAGGTCAGCCTAAGCAACTCACCCAAACTGCCTCAAAATAAAAAATAAAAAGGGCTGGGGATTTAGCTCAGTGGTAAAGTACCTTGGTTCAAGCTCCAGTACTGCTGCCCTGCCCACCCCTGCCCTAAAAAAAAAAAAGAAAAGAAAAGAAGTCTCAGCAAAGAAATAGAAAATATAATGAGAAATGAAAAGAAAATTTTAGAACTGAAAAATACAGTAGTGAACTAAAAAATGCAATGGATGAGCCCTAAATCATAATGAAGATGACAAAGGAAATAATTTGGGAAGTAATTATTTCAGGAAGTACCATAAGGCAGTAGAAATTATCCAGTCTAAATAACGGAGGAATATTAGGCTAAGAAAATAAATAAACAAGTGGATTCTTGGGAATCTGTAGGACTATGAAAAAGGTGTAGCATTGATGTCATCTCTTGGAGGAGAGGAGAAAGATGACAGTGTTGAGAACTTACTGTTAATAAATGTTGAACTCTTTCCAAATTTGGCAAAAGGCAAGCCAAAAGATCAAGAGCTGAAAAATAATACTAAAGAGGAAAATCTTCCCAAAATACTCACTAAAACACATTGTACACACATTTATGACAAAGCAATCCTAAAAGCAGCAGGAGAAATATTATAGTTCATCTGTAACATTATGGTTCAGATATGAGGTGTCCCCCAAAAGCTCATGTGTGAGACAATGCAGGAAAGTTTAGAAGTGAAATGATTGGGTTGTGAGAAGCTTAACCTAATCAGTGCATTAATCCCCAATAGGGATTAACTGGATGATAACTGAAGGCAAGTAGGGTGTGGCTGGAGAATGTAGATCATTGGGGTTGGGGGTGTGCCTTTGGGATCTATATTTTGTTCCTGTGAGTAGAGCAGACACTACACACTCTCTCTGCTTCCTGAAAGCCATATTCCCAGCTGCTTTCCTCTGCTACACATTTCTGCCTCACCTCATGCCCCACAAAATGTCAGCCACTTATGGACTGAGACCTCTGAAACTGTGAGCTCCAAATAAACTTTTTATCCTTAAAATTGTTCTTGTTGGATCTTTTGGTCATAGCAGTGAAAAACTGACTAAAGCAGAGAAAAATAACTCAGATGATAGCAGATGTTTTATCAGAAGCCATGCAGGCCACAAATAATTTGCTGAAAGAAAAAAAAGAAACTATTATCTCAGAATCCTATACCAGCTAAAATATATTTCAGAACTGAAAGGAAAAAAAAAGATATTTGCAAGTTAAGAAGAACTAAAAGA